TGGGGGGGAGCAGATCAGATGGTGGGTCCTCACCTATCAATGGGGTTGGGGGGGAGCAGATCAGATGGTGGTCCTCACCTATCAATGGGGTTGGGGGAGGTATTTAGCTCACAGGAAAGCCTGATCCCACTTGGCTGGGAGACTACCCTGCCAGGGACCCATTAGCACCCGACTGAAGCCCCATCCCAAGGAAATACCCTCAGGAGACTCCAGGCAAAGGCTTCCTGCCCAGGCCAGCAGAAAGGACAAGGTCAGTGGTGTGGAACAGGGGGGCTGCTGTCCTCCCCTCAGAGCAGAGGAAACTGAGGCCCAGAGAGCCCAAGGGCATGTTGCTGCTGACCAGCATGACTGGGCTAGTTTGCAGCTCTCATCATGCCACCTTCAATGACAAAGAAAGGTGACATGCAGGGACCTCAGAGGACATCCAGCCCTGAAACTTATTTTTAAAGCTGGCTGCTGAGCCTCAGGGAAGGGAGGCTACTGGCCTACGGTCACACAGTAAGGTATCGGCAGAGGCAGGCCTAGATTTCAGGTCTTCTGTGCCCGGCCGCCACCCTGCCATGTCAAGTGGTCATGACCTGAGTCAGCACCCCCAAACAGCCCAGCCACGCCAGACATGACCACCCCCCGAGGCCTGCAGGCACAACCTGGAATCTGACACCAAACTCTGGTGCCTTGGGTCCCAGAGAGAAAAGCCCAAGCTGTCAGCTTAGGACAGCAGTGTGGCCTCACCCATCAAGGAAGGTTTTACACCAGCACACCTGGCTGGAACTCAGCTGTATGGTCTCAGGTGAGTTATGTAATGAATCTGAGCCTTAGTTTCCCCATCTGTGAAGTGGGATTAAAATACATGACCCTAGAAGTTACCTTGGGGACTAAGCATTATAAAGTGCCCAGAAGGGGAAGGGCTCTGTCCCATGACAGAGACAAGAACTGGTACCAGCTCCCTCTCGTCCCTGTCATTCCTGCTGAAGAATAACCTAGGCCATAATCCCACCTCCTCCCCCAGTAAGGTTCTGTCTCTTTTGGGGTCCACAGGCCTAGTGTCTGTGCCTGGTGCTGCTCCATCACAGCCCCCCACATGCCTGCAGGTAGTCGGTCTCTCTGAGCTGCTCCTGTCCCTGGGGTGGGCTTTGTGCTGGGGGCCATCTGGAGGCAGCGGGCTTCAGGGTTACATAGGTGGCATCAAGGGGTGACTGAGGGCTCCCTCTGGCCAGGGCTGGGGTCCATCCTTTGGGGACCAGCGCTGGCTCCCACCCTGCCTGAACGGCGGGGCCGTACCACGAGGGCGTCAATGAGAACCGGGCTGGCTCCCACCCTGCCTGAATGGTGGGCCATACCATGAGGGCATTGATGAGAACCGGGCTGGCCCCCACCCCAGGCCCCCACCCTGCCTGAACGGTGGGCCGTACCACGAGGGCGTTGATGAGAACCAGGCCGGGCCCCCACCCTGCCTGAACGGTGGGCCGTACCACGAGGGCGTCAATGAGAACCGGGCTGGCTCCCACCCTGCCTGAACGGTGGGCCATACCATGAGGGCATCGATGAGAACCGGGCTGGCCCCCACCCCAGGCTCCCACCCTGCCTGAACGGCGGGGCCGTACCATGAGGGCATCGATGAGAACCGGGCTGGCTCCCACCCCAGGCTCCCACCCTGCCTGAACGGTGGGCCGTACCACGAGGGCATCGATGAGAACCGGGCTGGCTCCCACCCCAGGCTCCCACCCTGCCTGAAAGGCGGGGCCGTACCACGAGGGCATCGATGAGAACCGGGCTGGCTCCCACCCCAGGCTCCCACCCTGCCTGAACGGTGGGGCCGTACCATGAGGGCATCGATGAGAACCGGGCTGGCTCCCACCCTGCCTGAACGGCAGGGCCGTACCACGAGGGCATCGATGAGAACCGGGCTGGCTCCCACCCTGCCTGAACGGTGGGCCGTACCACGAGGGCATCAATGAGAACCGGGCTGGCTCCCACCCTGCCTGAACGGTGGGGCCGTACCATGAGGGCGTCGATGAGCTCGTCGTCATGCCGGCCCTTCTCCACCAGGGTCCCCATCTGACTCCTGAGTGTCTTCACCTCACTCGCCAGCACCTTGTTCCGAGACCTCACGCCCTCACACTTCTTTCTCAGCTCCTCAAGCTCTCTCTGGAGGGCGTCGCGCTCACCGGCAAGTTTCTGTAAATAGAAAGTGAGGGCATGGGCAGCAGGGCTGTGTGGGGCCTTGGCCACGTCTTCCCTGGCTCCCACTCTGTGGCAAGGCCTGGGGCTGTGCTGGGGGTGCTTGCTGAAGGCCACAGAGCCAGTCACTGCAGCCAGGGCCCTGGGTCCCAGCCCAGGCCTCTCAGGGACATCAGGTGGCCAGCAGCCCCCACCCTCGCCCCAGCACATGACAGCACTGACGAATGACAGCACTCCCCACCTCCGCCCGAGACGCGGGCTTCCTGCACTTGAGAGGGAAGCCGGCCAACTGCGTGTGTCCTCCAGACAGCGTGGCCAGTGCTGCTTGTGAACCTTCCCACGCTGGGGAAAGGAGAACAGCCGCACTTCAGAAAAAGTGCTAGGCTGGGTTCCCACTACAGCACCTCGCCCCACCAGGAGCCGGAATGAGAAGGGAGGGTCTGTCCCCACGTCCTCCGTGACCAGTTGGCACGGCTCAGTTTGTCAGCTACCAGCTGGAAACTCAGCGCAGCACCTGTCTTTGGAGTCTCTCCCTCACTCACCCCTTCATTCCAAGGGTTTCCTGAGGGCTTACTATGGGCTGAGTACTGCTTTACAGATGCCGGGGGACAGCAAAAAGCAAAACAGTCCTTGTTCTCAAGGAGCTGACACCCTAACGGAGGAGACAGATGACACCACATAGTGACAGACGCGAATCTGAAAGCGGGAAACAGTAACGTCGAGAGGGTGGCCCAGGCTGGAGTGCAGTGGCATGATCTCGGCTCACTGCCACGGTCAGGGAGGCCTCTGCACAGGTGGCATCTGAGCAGAGATGGAAGGAGGGAGGGGAGGGCAGAGGCCCTGGGCAGAACGCGCGCGGTGGGGGCGAGGCGAGTGGACCCTAGAGATAAGCTGGAGGCCCGAGGAGGAGCTCGGGCAGTGGGTGACATCCGCTGCCTGGTCCCGAGGGTGACTCGTTGCTGGAAAAGTGTTTTCATGTCCTTGGCGAAGTGAATTATAGAAATGCGAAGCAAACATGAATCCACAGGATGCAAGCCCTCTGCAGGGGGCACTCCGCACCGGCTGCCCTCCTGCCTACACACTCCAGACTCCCACGGGTGCCTGACAGAGGGAACGCAAGCAGGAAGCCGTTTCCTTCCTCCCGCCGCTGCAGCCTGTGGTCAGTCCAACTGCCCAACATCATCTGAACTGTGCGAGCGCGTATGTCCAAGTGAGGTGCGTCTGAAACCCATCAGCTCCAAATCTCAGCTCCCTATCTCCCCTTGAACCCACCCTGCCTCCCTTACCCACCTGCCATACTCCCTAGAAGCCCTTTAGGACTCTTCCTCCCCCTCTCTCTTCCTTGAGCCCCGGGAAGTCTGTGCACACAGCCCCCGGTGCCTGGCCCTTCCACAACAGTCTACCGTCTCGGCGAAGGTCCTCGGTCATCTCCAGGATCACCACTCCGCCTCCCATTCCGCTTCCCACCCATTCCTCCTCTTGCTCCAACCATGTGACCTTTCAAAACGGACAGCTGAACACCTCCCTCCACAACTTAAAACCCTTTGGTGGGCTGGGTGTGATGGCTCACGCCTGTAATCCCAGCACTTTGGGAGGCTGAGGCAGGTGGATCACCTGAGGTTAGGAATTTGAGACCAGCCTAACCAACATGCTGAAAACCCGTCTCTACTAGAAATACAAAAATTAGCCGGGCGTGGTGGCAGGTGCCTGTAATCCCAGCTACTTGGGAGGATGAGGCGGGAGAATTGCTTGAACCGCAGAGGCAGAGGTTGCAGTGAGCCGAGATCATGCCACTGCACTCCAGCCTGGGCGACAGAGCAAGACTTCACCTAAAAAAGCAAAAACAAAAACCCTCTGGTGGTTCTCCACAGCCTTCAAGACACAGGCCAAAAGTCCCGGCCAGCACAAAAGGCCCGCAGGCCTGGCCCTCGGTGGTCTAGAGTGTGGGAGGTGCAGCGCGGCCAGGGTCACAGCGTTCCTAACACAGGGCCTGGCCCAGAGTCGGTGCTCACAGGCAAAAGTCTCCTGATGGAAAGGCAAGGCCTCACGGTCAGGTACCTTGCTGCCAGGGCCACGGAAGTGGGCCTGTCGTGTGGCCTGCCTGCACCTCTTCCTGCTGCTTCTGCTGCCTTCTTTAAAGCGGCCCCCACTCCCCACTCTCACGGCAAGTTTGGGGAAGCTAACTCATCCGCCAAACCTTGGGGCAGGTATCTGAAGCTTGACCAATCAAAACACCCTGTACTCCTGGCCGCAGGGATGGACCCAGGGATGGCCACATGACCCAAGCTAGACTGAAGACACTCAGTTCTAGGACTTTGTTGGAACTATTTGGACAGAGAAGTCCTTTGTCTGTGGAGGCTGCACTGGAGGGGGAAGCTGGGACCAGCCAGGGTCCCTGTGGAGGAGAGCGGCGCCAGCCCGGGAGCTGGTGGTGTGGCCAGCAAGGCCCCGCTCCGCATCTGAAGCCAGGCCCCTTCTGGATTGTTCGTTCATATGGACCGATAACGCCTCTGTTGCTTAACCCCGGTAGAGTTAGAGTTCCAAAGTGCCCAGTGCAGCCAGTGAGACGCGGCCCCCAACGCTGAGTGCAGCCTGCCCACCTCTTTCATCAGCCTGGGACTGTCCTCCTTGAAGCCGCATCCAACCCTCTCACACTTCTGGGGCCGTGACCGTCTCCCTCTCCCCTTTACATCGGGAGAATTTCAGGTGCAGCGTCTCCGAAACAGCCAGGATGGGGCCAAGCAAAGCTGATTGAATGGGCTCACAGTGAGGCCCCAGTCAGGCACCTCAGGCTGGTTTGACAGGATGTGAGGAACATGCGGAGGTGACCCAGGTCCCCAGGCGACTCCTGCCTAGAAGGGTGGCTCTGAGCCCTGCAGGCAGCATTGGGACCTCCCGCTCCCACAGCCCGGCTGGCTCCTCCCTGGGCAGCGTTACCTCCAGGCCTTCCTGCTTCTCCCTCTCCAAGCTGCGGATCCTCAGCAGGTGTTTCTCCTGTGCCGACAGCTTCCGTGGGTCTGGGCACACAGACAACTCATCGCTGCCTGTTCCTGCAGGCTGGCTCCGGGCCTGGCCCAGCTGCTTCTCAAGCTCTCGAACCTGAGGGTGGTAAAACCCGTCATTCACAGTGGGTCTGCAGCCAGCCCCTGCTACTCACAAGTGATCAGAGACCCCACGGACTGAAGACGGAACCGCATCTCCAGATGGCTGTGGAAGCCCCACTGGAGGAGGACGAGGGCTGGGGCGTGACCTGAGCTAGCACAGCGGAAGGCACCAGGCAAGTTCAGCTTAGAAAAAAGAGAACATCACTGTCTCTCAGGGGCTGTCTGAGGCTGGGAAGCACAGCTGTGGCCCCAGGAGCCTGGGAGGGATAGGATGGCAGCTCTCAGTTCAAGAAAGTACTTTCTTATTTCATTTGTTTAGAGACAGAGTCTTGCTCTGTCGCCCAGGCTGGGGTGCGGTGGTATAATAGTGGCTCACTGTCATCTCTGCCTCCTGGGCTCAAGCAATCCTCCCGCCGCAGCCTCCTGAGCAGCTGGGACATGCCACTGTATATAATAATTTATATATATATATATATATACACACTTATATATATACATATAATTTTGTATATATACATACACACAAATATATATATACAAAAATTAAATTAATTTTGTATATATATATTTTTGTGTGTATACATATGTGTGTGTGTGTATATATGTACATGCACATATATATATTGTAGAGACGGGTTTCACCATGTTGCCCAGGCTGGTCTTGAACTCCTGGGCTCAAGTGATCTGGCCACCTCAGCCTCCCAAACTGCCAGGCAAGGAGGAACTTTCTACTGACAGACCACCTAAGACTGGGCAGGCCCCTCAGGAGGCGAAGGTCACTTACAGGAGGTACTGCAGAGGTTACGCAGGGTTTGGAAGCAGAGAGTGGCTCAAAGCCTCATGTACCGTGTGACCGCAGATGGGTGGCCTCTCTGAATCTCAGCTCCCTCACCTAAGAGCACGCCCTGCGTAGCACTGTCATGTGAGGCTGTCTGAGCCTGGGAATCCTCTGAGGTTCTTGGACTGACCTATCTTGGTGCTCATTCCAGATCAACAAACTAGAGTTCTAGGGGAAGGGCCTCGGCATCTGCATTTTAAGTGCTAAGGTGATTTTTAGGATTAGGTAACTTTGTAAAATCCCAAGACGGTCTACGTGAAGCCATCAACACAGCCTGGCCCGCGTGAGCTCTCGGCAAGTGGCGGATAGATGTCATCCCACAGAACAATGCCCTTATCGCCCTGGTAACCCTGGGGTAGAAGCAGACAACTCCTAGGGTCCTTCCCACCCTGGTTTCTGCGTCAACGCAACCAAATGGCGGAACAACGCTGGTAAACTTGAGCCAGGAAAGGAAGCACAATTGGCTAGGCTCCCCGGCCAAGGGCGGGGGCACGGCTTTGGCAGCACCCATCAGTGCCCTCGTGTGTCGCTGTGTGGCAATTCCGCTTAAAGAACACTGTTGCCTTTAAGAATTCGACATACAACGTAATAAGTTGTTTTGTCTTCTTGCGGCCAACACTGTGTGTCACCCCATTTCACAAGTGTGAAGATGAAGACAGAGGAAGATGAAGGGATTTGCCCAAGGCCACCGAGCTGGCAGACCAGTGGGCAAACCTCAACTCAGGCGTCTACAACCCCAAGGCCATGCATGGGTCATCATCTGCTTCCTGGAGTTGTTCCCCCTCTATGTTGGCTTCCAGGACCCCACGGCAGACACGAGGACCAAAGCCACTGTGACCCTTGAAGTCCCCGGGAACAAGGGTGATACGCTTGGCAAAGAGTGGAAATCAGAGCTGCTCACGGGCTTCTCAGTCGAAGGGAAAAGGTGAAAGAACCACACGTAACCTTCACGCAGTGCTCGCTCCGTGCCTTACAAGTACCGACTCAACTCTCCCAACAACCCTGTGGGGTAGGTACCGCTGTTATCCCCATTACACAGATGAGGAAACTGAGGTACAGAGCTAAAGAAGCTTGCTTGAGGTCACACAGCTGGTGAGCAGAGAGCTGGGATTTGAATCTGAGCCGCGGGGCTCCCGAGCCCCTGCCGCCAGCCTCTTTTGGAATGCTCCAAAACATTCAGATAATAAAGAGGGAGACAAGGCTAAGTTTTATTGGGTAATTAAACTTTCAAAAGACTACAAGCATCTGGACAAAACTGAAAAGCTTACAACAGTCACGCAAATTTACACGAACTAGGAAAAGAAGATGCCTGGAGTAAAAGAAATCAACCAAAGGCGCCGGCGTTTGTGCAGCCCCGGTGCCTGGCGTGTGGTGTCATGTACGAGCTTGTTCATTAACTAACAGGTTAAAATCAGGCTGGCTGGCGAGAAGGTGACACACTGTGAGACCTAAAGGCCTTTTCTGGGTACAGTGTGCTGAAGTCTCTAAGGGGCCAGGGCAGGTCTTTCTGGGATGTTCTAAATCCTTAGAAGTCTGATGACTCACCCACCTTGCTTTGCAAAACGAGAATTTGTTGAGCCCGACCCCTCCAGGTCCCCGGCAAGGACAGGAGCTGCTGGACATCGATGCCTTCCCCAACCTCGCTGGCCAAAACCTGAAATAGGGCAGGGCCTTCAGTGTGGCCAAAAGAGAGGACTCCAGCAGACCCTGGCGGGGCTGCCTTTTTACAAGCACACTTGGAAGCAGACTTCACCTACACAACCTTCTTCCATCCCAGAGCGCAGCCCTCCAAGATCAGTCTTCCATGTCCCAAGGGCAGCTCTCCCTGGGAAAGTAGTGAACCCATCATCCCTGGCACTTCTTGGCAGTGCTTAGAGCAACCAAGAAGCCGCCGACCACGCCCAGATCGGGCCCCTTGCTCCTGACCTACTCTGGGACTGCTGAGCCGCAAAGCTGACCGACACCTGCTTCCCTAACCCACTCAGCTGTCACCTCGAGCTGAGCTAATTCTGACTATGGGAAGCGCATCGCCACAGAGCCCTGCCCTCTGTGAAAAGCCACAGGCAAGTGGACCTCTGAGTGCAGCAAAAGGTGGGCTACTGAATGTCAGCTGGGGCACTGTGGTCCAGGAAGGGCCCAGCTTTGCAGCTGTTGACGGGCAGCACTCTCCCAACCTCAAGGATCTGCGGCAGAAACAATACACTCAGCCTGTGACCTGGGCCCCTCTGAGGCTGTCACAGAAACCCCACCCAGCACACCAAGCCTCTGGCGCTCGCCTCCACAAGAGAACACTGTTTTGGAAATCTGGGCCAGTCTGAGTGGTTGCAGCAGGGAATTCACTATGTAAATAAAAATAAATAACGAACCAGCTGGGCCTGTGTCCCAAGTCTGAGCATTTTCCTTTGAAAGGGTCCTCTAATACACAGTAACCTATTCATGTTCTGTTACAGACAGCGGGGCAGAAGGCAGGGCTTGGCAGCCTTCCAAGTTAAGGGTGACATTAAGGGGAGACCCAGGATCTACTGGGGCACAAGGAGTCAGGGAAGGCTTAATGGACTCTCCCTGGGTGGACTCAGTCCAGAGCAGGGCAGGCATCACAAGGGCATGTGTGCTGGGGGTGGGGACCGAGGGCTGGTGGGAGGAAGGACTGGACGTGGAGCCTGACCCAGAGCAAGCAGTGTGCTCACAGGGCTGGGCACTCAGGCTCCAGAATGGAACCCACGGTGCCAGCCATGTTCTTCCCAAGTCCAGCCCCAGCCACATAAGAAGCCCCAGCCCTGGCTCTGAAAGACCTTCTGCGCCACCCGCAGCTCCTGCTTCACAGACTGGATCTGGTTACGGAGGTCACTCATCTTCAAGGTGGTGGCTGCCAGCCTGTCCTGCAGGGCCTTCACCTCTGGGGTCTCCCGCTGTGGGGAAGGACAGGAGAGAAAGTAGTCACTATTGCCGACATGGGAACAGTCACCATAGCCCCCATCTACCCAAGTCTGTGCCAGGCACTGTGCTGAGTGTTTGACATGGAGTGACTCATTCAATCCTCACCAAGTCCTGTCAGGTAGGTTCTCTCATAGGTAGGCCCCTCATAGGTGCAGAATGGAGGCTGGTGGAAGGTCAGTCCTCCACTTGGGCTGACTGGTTAATCAAGGTGGAACCTGGATTTGAATCCTGGCAGCTTAGCTTTGGGGCTGGGCTTTCTGCAGAGCGTTGCACACACATGGATGCAGGACTTGCCCTAGAGGTGGGGCATCTGCAGAGAGCTGTGGCACCACACGTCCGACACCTCCCGGGTGTGGACCCTCCGCTGTGCTCAGAGATCCACATCGAAGCTAAGCCACCGTCACTCGGAATACAGAGGAAACCCTGTTATTCCCAGAAGGCAGCCCAGCGTGCAGGAGTCGCAGCACCCTAATTCAGGGCCGCCTCTCCCAGAACTGTCAGCTTGGACCTTGGGCTCTCTTTCCTAGCAGTGACCACTGAACAGAAATAAGGACCCATTTTAATTTCCAAAAGCTCATCTCTGTGGCTTGAAGAACTGCAGCAAGCCCATGAAAACTGCCTGCCGAAACTCTCAGCAACGTTTTTTTTTAACCCACTGTTTTATTTAAACTATCTGGATAGAAATTTTTCTTAAATGTGCTGACTACTTCTCGGTCCTCAATAGACACTCCCGTGACTCACAGACATTTGACGAGGGACCTTCAAGGTCAGCCCATTCAAACCCCTTTCTTGATGAAAATAAGGTCCAGAGAGGGGAGGCAATTTGCCTTCAGGCTTCAGCTGGTTGGGGTGACACAGGTGGGATCAGAAAGAACACTCGTCCTTCTCCTGCCCTGGCTGACTCTTCCAATTTAAGCTGCTGCTACTGCTGGGCACTGTGGCCGCAGGAACACTGGTTGTTAGGCTGAGCATCCCAGCAGGCAATGATGCCGGGGCCCTCTGCTGCTGCCCCACAGGGGAGAGGGGCTGAACTTCACGCAGCAGGGCTGGTCCTGCAGTGGCTTTCTCCAGCAGGCATAAACAAAGGCTCCTGTGAATGCTGGTGTGAAAGACAGATCCAAGTATACTGGGTCTGGAAAGTTCCATGGCCCCAGAGGCTCGGGGCAGCCCAGCTGAAAACCAGTGGCCAAGAAGCTAGACAGGGACACCTGGTCCAGAAACCCCGGCCTCACCCAGCGTCCTCATCTATGGAATGGGTATAAAAACACTTCCCCATTCCACTTCCTCCGAGCACCACCATCGGGCTAAAGAGAACAGCCAATGTGAGCAGAATGTGCCAACTGGGAACTTACATGAGACATAAGCACATTTATGTTCTGTGCTCTTCCTTCTGCCTGGCTGCCCGCCATCCCTGCACACTCTGCTGGGTGCCTGTCTCTCCTCCTGTTAAATGTGTGGCTTTGAATCTGCCCTGGGTTGGGAAGCAATGCTCCTCCACCCCCTGCCACGCCCCTGCCCTTCCTGTCAGATCTCCAGTGCCATGAGCCCCAGTGACCCTGACCTCCGGGGTGGCCTGACCTCGGGGGTGGTCTGACCTCGGGAGTGACCCTGACCTCGGGGGTGACCCTGACCTCGGG